TTTAAAAAGGAGAAAGAAGGAAAGGAGAAAAGAAAAAGAAAATTCAAAAACGAGAAAGAAATGAGAAAAGAAAAAAGGGAAAAAAAAAAGAGAGGAGAAGGAAAGGAGAAAAAAGGAAAACCCAGAAGGGGGGAAACCAGAAAGAAGAAGAAGAAGAAAAGAAAAAACCCAAAAGGGAAAAAAAAAGAAAAAAGAGAAAGGAAATTGAAAAAAAATAAAAGGAAAGCAAGAAGGAAAAAGAAGAGAAGAAGAATGAGAAGAAAAAAGCAAGAGGGAAAAGGGGAAAAAACCAGAAAAAAGAAAAGGGCCAGAAAAACCAGAAGGGAAAAAAACCCAAAAAAGGGGAAACGAAGGAGAAACTAAAGGGCCAGAACCAAACCAAAGGAAACGAAAAGAAAGAGAAGAAGAAGCCAAAACCCAAAAAAAAAAAACCAAAATAAACAAAAAAGAAAAAGAAACAGAAAAAAAGCAGAAAAGAAGGAGAAAAAAAGGGAGAATAGAAAGAAGAAAGAAAACAAAGGGAAAGAAAGGCGAAATGAAAAAAAAGGAAAGGAAAAGGAAAAAGAGAAAGAAAAAAAGAAGAGAAAACGGAAAGGAAAAGGGCCAAAACAAAACAGAAAAAGAGAATAGAAGGGGAGACAGAAAAGGGGAAAAGCAGGAAAACAAAAAGAGAAAGGAAAGGAAAACGAAAACAGAAAGAAAAGAAAAGAAAGGGGAAGTAGAAAGAAATAAAAAGAAAAAAAAAAAACGGAGAAGCAAAAAGAAAGTGGGAAAAAAAGAAAGAAAAGGGCAGAAAGCAGAAATGTAGAAACGGAGAAGCTGAGAAAGAAAGCTGAAAAATGAGAAACTGCAGAAGCTGCGGAAGCTGCAGTAGCTGCAGAAGCTGCAGAAACTGCAGAAACTGCAGAAACTGTAGAAACTGTAGAAACTGCAGAAACTGCAGAAGCTGTAGAAACTGCAGAAGCTGCAGAAACCTCAGAAGCTGCAGAAACTGCAGAAACTGCAGAAACTTCAGAAGCTGCAGAAACTGCAGAAGCTGCAGAAACTTCAGAAGCTGCAGAAGCTACAGAAGCTGCAGAAACTTCAGAAGCTGCAGAAACTGCAGAAACTGCAGAAACTGCAGAAGCTCCAGAAACTTCAGAAGCTGCAGAAACTTCAGAAGCTGCAGAAACTGCAGAAGCTACAGAAGCTGCAGAAACTGCAGAAACTGCAGAAGCTGCAGAAACTGCAGAAACTGCAGAAACTGCAGAAACTTCAGAAGCTGCAGAAACTGCAGAAGCTGCAGAAACTGCAGAAACTGCAGAAACTGCAGAAACTTCAGAAGCTGCAGAAACTGCAGAAACTGCAGAAACTGCAGAAACTTCAGAAGCTGCAGAAACTGCAGAAACTGCAGAAACTGCAGAAACTTCAGAAGCTGCAGAAGCTGCAGAAACTGCAGAAACTGCAGAAACTTCAGAAGCTGCAGAAACTTCAGAAGCTGCAGAAACTGCAGAAGCTGCAGAAACTTCAGAAGCTGCAGAAACTTCAGAAGCTGCAGAAGCTGCAGAAACTGCAGAAACTGCAGAAACTTCAGAAGCTGCAGAAACTGCAGAAGCTGCAGAAGCTACAGAAGCTACAGAAGCTGCAGAAACTTCAGAAGCTGCAGAAGCTACAGAAGCTGCAGAAACTTCAGAAGCTGCAGAAACCTCAGAAGCTGCAGAAGCTACAGAAGCTGCAGAAACTTCAGAAGCTGCAGAAACTTCAGAAGCTGCAGAAACTGCAGAAGCTGCAGAAGCTGCAGAAGCTACAGAAGCTACAGAAGCTGCAGAAACTGCAGAAACTGCAGAAACTTCAGAAACTGCAGAAACTGCAGAAGCTGCATAAGCTGCAGAAGCTGCAGAAACTTCAGAAGCTGCAGAAACTGCAGAAGCTGCAGAAGCTACAGAAGCTACAGAAGCTGCAGAAACTGCAGAAACTGCAGAAACTGCAGAAACTTCAGAAGCTGCAGAAACTGCAGAAGCTGCAGAAACTTCAGAAGCTGCAGAAACTTCAGAAGCTGCAGAAGCTACAGAAGCTGCAGAAACTTCAGAAGCTGCAGAAACTTCAGAAGCTGCAGAAACTGCAGAAGCTGCAGAAGCTACAGAAGCTGCAGAAACTTCAGAAGCTGCAGAAACTTCAGAAGCTGCAGAAACTGCAGAAACTGCAGAAGCTGCAGAAGCTGCAGAAGCTACAGAAGCTACAGAAGCTGCAGAAACTGCAGAAACTGCAGAAACTTCAGAAGCTGCAGAAACTGCAGAAGCTGCAGAAGCTGCAGAAACTGCAGAAACTGCAGAAACTTCAGAAGCTGCAGAAACTGCAGAAGCTGCAGAAACTGCAGAAGCTGCAGAAGCTGCAGAAACTGCAGAAACTGCAGAAACTTCAGAAGCTGCAGAAACTGCAGAAGCTGCAGAAGCTGCAGAAGCTACAGAAGCTACAGAAGCTGCAGAAACTTCAGAAGCTGCAGAAACTTCAGAAGCTGCAGAAACTGCAGAAACTGCAGAAGCTGCAGAAACTGCATAAACAGCAGAAACTGCAGAAGCTGCAGAAACTGTAGAAACTGTAGAAACTGCAGAAACTGCAGAAGCTGCAGAAACTGTAGAAACTGTAGAAACTGCAGAAGCTGCAGAAGCTGCAGAAGCTGCAGTAGCTGCAGAAGCTGCAGAAACTGCAGAAACTGCAGAAACTGCAGAAACTGCAGAAGCTGCAGAAACTGCAGAAGCTGCAGAAACTGCAGAAACTGCAGAAGCTGCAGAAGCTGCAGAAGCTACAGAAGCTGCAGAAGCTGCAGAAACTGCAGAAGCTGCAGAAGCTGCAGAAACTGCAGAAACTGCAGAAACTGTAGAAACTGTAGAAACTGTAGAAACTGTAGAAACTGCAGAAACTGCAGAAGCTGCAGAAACTGTAGAAACTGTAGAAACTGCAGAAGCTGCAGAAGCTGCAGAAGCTGCAGTAGCTGCAGAAGCTGCAGTAGCTGCAGAAACTGCAGAAGCTGCAGAAACTGCAGAAACTGCAGAAACTGCAGAAACTTCAGAAGCTGCAGAAACTGCAGAAGCTGCAGAAGCTGCAGAAACTGCAGAAGCTGCAGAAGCTCCAGAAGCTGCAGAAACTGCAGAAACTGCAGAAGCTGCAGAAACTGCATAAACTGCAGAAACTGCAGAAGCTGCAGAAACTGTAGAAACTGCAGAAACTACAGAAGCTGCAGAAACTGTAGAAACTGTAGAAACTGCAGAAGCTGCAGAAGCTGCAGAAGCTGCAGTAGCTGCAGAAGCTGCAGAAACTGCAGAAACTGCAGAAACTGCAGAAACTGCAGAAACTGTAGAAACTGTAGAAACTGTAGAAACTGCAGAAACTGCAGAAACTGCAGAAGCTGCAGAAGCTGCAGTAGCTGCAGAAGCTGCAGAAACTGCAGTAGCTGCAGAAGCTGCAGAAACTGCAGAAACTGCAGAAACTGTAGAAACTGCAGAAGCCGCAGAAACTGCAGAAGCTGCAGAAACTGTAGAAACTGCAGAAGCTGCAGAAACTGCAGAAACTGTAGAAACTGCAGAAGCTGCAGAAATTGCAGAAGCTGCAGAAACTGTAGAAACTGCAGAAGCTGCAGAAGCTGCAGTAGCTGCAGAAACTGCAGAAACTGCAGAAACTGCAGAAGCTGCAGAAACTGCAGAAACTGCAGAAACTGTAGAAACTTTAGAAACTGCAGAAACTGCAGAAGCTGCAGAAACTGTAGAAACTGTAGAAACTGCAGAAGCTGCAGATGCTGCAGAAGCTGCAGTAGCTGCAGAAGCTGCAGAAACTGCAGAAGCTGCAGAAACTGTAGAAACTGCAGAAGCTGCAGAAACTGCAGAAACTGTAGAAACTGCAGAAGCCTCAGAAACTGCAGAAGCTGCAGAAACTGTAGAAACTGCAGAAGCTGCAGAAGCTGCAGAAGCTGCAGTAGCTGCAGAAGCTGCAGAAACTGCAGAAACTGCAGAAACTGTAGAAACTGTAGAAACTGCAGAAACTGCAGAAGCTGCAGAAACTGTAGAAACTGTAGAAACTGCAGAAGCTGCAGAAGCTGCAGAAGCTGCAGTAGCTGCAGAAGCTGCAGTAGCTGCAGGTTTCCATGCAAAGTCAATGGTTGACACACAGCAAGGCGCAGCAAAAGGTCCTTCAGCGTTTTGAGCAGCAGGAGCTGCGCCTCATGAGCTTCTGAGCATCTGAGGTGCTTCACAAGCAGCAGCTGCTGGAGCTGGAAAACATTTAACTTAGCTGACCCCCACATACCGGCGCTGCGCTGTCACTGGGAACTTAGTTTGCCAGCAGGTTTCTACATTTTAAGGTAATTTAGGCGTTAATAAACTGTCTCAGAGGAGTGATCATACACTCAGACCCCCCCACACCGCCGGTATGTGGGGGTCTGAGCGGCTCCCACAGAGAAATAATCTTTGAAGGCAGGATGGTAATCTGGATGAACTGACTGCACAGACCATGTTTTCAGGAGGACTTTCTCACTTCAACATAGATTCTAACTACTTTCTACCCGCTGATCACAGCTAATATAGCAAAGCTGCTCTCTGGCATCGAACACAGGAGCAGCAGAAGCATCTGGACTCACTTTACTGGACGTCTGACCTTAATGAGGATCAGAGATGAAGCAGCAGAAGCTTCTTTGCTGCGGTCTGAAGGCAGCATTAGTCCTGGCCTGATCAGCGGCTTTATTTATGAAATGATAAACTTACTTCTTTGCCGCGTGTGGGAACCACCAGCGGAGAGGTGTTAGTGAAGGACATTCCCTGCAGTGAGGAGATAAAAAAGAGGATTTCCTTCACGTCAGTCATTAAACAGAAAGCTTCATGGAGAAGAAAGATCTCACTTACAATCATGTTTTCTTTCAGCGCTTGCATTGAATAGTATCCAGCTATTCCAAAATGGTTAGAGCCTAGGAGAGGAAAGAGATCATGAAGATATTTGATGCTAAGTTTCAGTAGCTGCTCCTGCTGTTACTCTAAAGCAGGTGGAGTCAGTCATCAGGAGTCCTAAGGTTGGATGTTTAACGTCTGTTTCTGCTCTGCAGACCGTTCAGGGCGGTCTTCCTGCTCCAGCCTCCTTCCTCGCTTTAGCTTCATCTTCCCATCAACTCCGACTGGCTTTCCTGCCCCTTTTAAAGAATACCATGATGCTGCCACCACCATGCTTCAATTAGGGGTTGGTGCCTTTGAGGGGAAGTGAACCATGTTTTTCAACACATTACATTTTTTATATAAGATGTTTTTCTCATAAATTTAAATCTTTTGTCATCTGACAAAAACAAGCATTTCCACACGTTTGATTTGTTTATTCATCATTTCTGTCTCTCTCTCTTAAAGCCAGATTTGTAAGTGACTTATTTTTTTCCTGTTTCATCATCATCCTTTTTATACATATATGTTAGACCAGAAATCACAGATTAGCGGACCGCGGTCCGGATCCACCTGCTGCCTAATCTGGACCCAACCTGATTTAAACATTTATAAATTACTGCATGTTGTCAGACAGCGGTGTCTAATTTCACTTGCTCCTCTTCTCCTGTTAATACGGTAAAGCCCTGGGGAGCGTCCGGCTCCAGGCTGCACGTGATCCAAATGAGCCAATGAGCTGTCAGTCTGGGTTGCTGCTGCTGCTACTTTTAGACACAGCAGGCAAACCTGTGGCAAGCCGGGCGATGGGAAAGAAGGAGAAGACCATGAGAAAAAGAGAGCAGAGAAAGTGTGGACTGCTGGAAGAACTGCGGTGAACTGGTGAAAGAAAAGGGAAATGGCGTGCTCAAAGATGACCCTGCACGTTTAGAGGATGTTTGGCTCAACCTGCTGCTGTGAAGCAGGATTCTCCACCATGAACAGAATCAACAATAAATCTGGATCCAGGCTCAAAATGAGCTCCTTGATATGTGCTTGAGAATGGCTTAGTCTCTGGTGAAACCCAGGTTTAAAGCCTTGCAGGGCAGCCTAAAGCCCACTGCCAACATTAAGACAGAAAAAAGAAAGAAAATAACAACCATCAGTTCAGGGGTTTGAGAAAATATGGGAATCAGGAAATTATCTATAAACCAAACTGAACGATTGTTGTTCTCTACTTCAAAAAGCACTTTAGATTTTTAAGTGTAAAAATATTCTTATAGATATTCTATATATATTTGTTATTTAAAAATTTGATGTATATCATGAATTCATAAAAACCTCATTTCAGTGTTAAATTCTGTTTAAAATAACAGATTAAAATAAAAAATGTCTCTGGACCTTTACTGGTTGATCATTTTCTTTATCCCCCCCCCCTGCTGATTTTTCATTGGTTGCCGCTGAGTGAAACTAGTCGTTCTTCAGTGAAATATTTGTCATGATCTGGCCTGTTTGCTCTCCCCAAATTAGTAATTCCTCTCACCTGCCCTCTTCTTTCCCTGCCTCAATTATCATTCATTCCTCTCACCTGTTTCCTCTGGTTTATATTCAGTTCAGCCTGAGCATTCAGGGCCAGATCATTACTTGTCTTTCTGTCAGTCTTTCTGTTCAGTTTGATTTCATGGTTCATGTCCTGGATCCTAGCAGCCAGTGGAAAGAGGGTTTTAGTGTTTGTCTCGTCTCCTGATCGTCCACTGTTCCTCCCCTGCGGAGTCCTCTGGGTTTTTGGCTCATTATGGGGGGGGGGTTCAGTTTTTATCCAGTAAGCCTGGCTCCTGGGTGGAGACCAGTTTAAAGTCCTGCTTCAAGTTCCGGTTCCACGTCCTGTCTCGGCTACCCTCTTCCACTGAGCCTGCCTGTCTGCACCTGATCCTGTCTGCTCCTGTGCGTGACCACCTGGTCATGCTTCTGGTCCCAGTAAGACTCTGAACCCTCCTGGAAGCCTGTGGATGCCTGGAAGTCTGGACCCTGCCTCCTGTCTCTGTTCCTGCCTGATCTGGATCCTGCCTGTTTCTGTCTGTTCCTGTCTGTTCTGGATCCCTCACCAGGATCAGCTTCCACCATCACCTCTGGGACTGCAGCACTGGGACACTTGTGGTCTGGACTGTTAAACCAGGTAAGTGACCAACACAGTTAATCTTCTATTGGTTGATCGTGGTCACTTACCTGTGTTTCCTCCCTAGAGTGTCTGAGATTGTGCGGTGCCCCGCCCCCCCTGCCTGCAGTGTCCGCGAGCCACAGCTCCGCTTTTGTTTTGTTTTTATTTTAATAAACCTTTTGAACTTTCCTACTGACTGTCTCTCCTGAATACTGGGTCCATCTGTCCTCGGTTCATGACAATATTCAAACCCAAAAGGACCTATTTGGTTTTTCCTTCTAATTCTTTGTTTTCATTTGTTTTGTTGATGGAAGACTTTTAGTTTTATTTTGTGATTGTTGCGTTTTTTGTTCTGTTGGTTTGTGTTTTTCATACCTTTGCAGTGCGTTTGCACCTGTAGGCCACCATATTACAGGCTGAGATATTTGCAGAGGCAGGACAGACGGTACAGCAGGAGATTCTATCCTTAATTCCATTTATAGAATGAATTAATTAGGACATGATGTAGCTGGAGTGACAGAAGATGCAACAGATGGAGTGGCTGGTTTCAGATAATAGGAGGACTTTGTATTAATCTCATTTTGAATTCAGATCAATTCCCAGAAAGGATGATTCAAATAAAAGAAAGTTCTGTTTTTTTTCATGTTTTCAATGTTTTCATCAAACAAAAATCATCAGATTTAATCTGAAATCAGAGATTTTTACTCCTCATCACTGAGAGCCATGTAGCTCCACTCGCTGCGTTCATGGCCTCCAGACAGAAGCAGAGAAGTGATGGGACTCACCGTGTGCCACCACCCAGCCTATTCCAACCTCTTTGGCCTTTTTAATGGCCAGTTTCATGCAGAAGTTTCCCACCACGGGTCCCAGGAGGTTATTCCCATCCACCAGCGCTGTGGCAGCACTTTCCTTCTCCACCAGCGGCTCCCCTTCTACTGCACAGATTCCTGTCTGGATGTCCTTCAGGTACATATCTGCATGGAGAGACGACAGATGGAACCAAAACGCAGAAATTTACCAGCAGAAATTAGAAGCATTGGTTTGTCTGAATGGTCATCGAAGGGACTGTCAAATATTTTGGACATATTGAATTCTGACTCTGTTAAACCCTTTGAACAAATTAAAGCTAATTTCAATATTTCTAATAGAGATTTTTATAAATACTTACAGATTCGTCATTTTGTGAATTCTCTCAGGAGGACAGGAAAACTACGTACAAAATTGTCTGAGTTAGAGAATACAATTGTTTTGACCAAATCTTCTAAGGGACTTCTAAGATATATAGTTTGTTATCTGGCTCTGACTCCTCAGGTTATGATGCCATGAAGCTGGTGTGGGAGTTTGATCTGGGGTTGACGTTCAATCCAGCAGATTGGGAGGAAATCTGTGATGGGGTTTTCCGTAATTGCACTTCGCTTTCTATACACGAGCAGAACTTTAAATTCTTCTATCGAACATATTACACACCTGTTCGCCTTCGGAAATGTTTCCTGATGCTTCAGATCTCTGTCATAAATGCAGAATACATAAGGGCACATTTATTCATTTATTTTGGTCTTGCGACTATATTCAAATCTTCTGGAAGGCAGTTCATCTGGTGATACAAGAGATTATTGGTAAACAGTTCTCACTAACTTCCTCCTTCTGTCTTTTTAATCACACTTCAGGGATTCTCTTTAATGCAGATACCAAACATTTGCTTGTAATTCTCTTATTTCTGGCTAAGAAATGTATACTACTGAGGTGGTCAGCATTACTAGCCCCTACAGTCGATATGTGGTTATCACAAATGTCTGCTATTGTCGCAGTTGAAAAACTAACTTGTGACCTTCATCAAAAGTCGGACAAATTCCGGAGGATATGGGGCCCGGTACAATCTTTTTTACAGAAACTGTAAATTTATTTTTTTTTTATTTTTATTTTTTTTTTTAGATTTTTTCTCTCTTCTATTTTTCTTATTCAATATATCACACATTTGGCTGTCCAACAGTGTGGACTACTTTGAACCATGTCTGTTTGTATTTTGTGTATGTGGGCTGTATGTATGTATGTTCTTTTTTGTTTTCTCTCTCTTTTATGTGAACACCGCAGTGCTCCTTGTTGATTTGGGGTGGGTTGTTTTTGTTTGTGTGTTTATTTGTTTGTTTGTTTTTGTTGATGTTTATATAAAGCTGTGAAAAAAAAAAAAAAAAAAGGAAACAAGACGCACATTTCAGCCCAGATTCCCCCCAAGATGTCCAACTGTCCAACACAAAAACTCCAACATTCCGGATATTTCCAAGCTTTGACTGACCCATCCTGTTGAGTCCGTGGCTGTAGTGGCCCCTGCAGTCCGCTGTTACCAGCACCTCAGCCAGGCTTCTGGCATGGTGGGGTTTGGCCCCCACCGCCGTTAAACACCTCTCAATGAAGCTTTGCACCTCCTGCTGGCTGATGACACACCTGCAGAGCAGGAAGTAAACCAGAAAATCACAAACATCTGAACACAGGATATAATTACTGCTTCTTTGGTCTTTTTTTTATTTAATGATTTACTTTTTGTGATTTAAATCTGAGTAAAACCTAAGAAAAAAAAATGTAATGATTTATAATTATCATTTATTATCATTTCATAACAAATGTTCATGTTAAAGAAAAATAAAATGTTAAAAAAGATAGAAAAAAAAGGCATATAAACATAAAGCTGCTGACATTATGAGCTGAAAGCAGCATCATAAATATTTCAGGTCCTTCTTGTTTTATTGTTTTATTTTTGTAGAAAACAGAAATGTTTTGAAAGCTGAAGCAGGAAATGATGCTGATTTATCGAAACTCCAAACCTGAGAAACTTAAAAAAAGAAAGAAAAAACTGGTCCTTCTTCTGCGTGTTTGGAGTTCCGTACTTTTATCTTCACGGTTCTTTCCAGTAGAATATTTAGATCCATATGACTCGCTGCTGCACAGAGAGTCATATTGATGCCTCCCGGGGGCCACGGCTGAAGCTGGGGGCCGGGGGCCGACGCAGAACAAAGCCTCAATACAAACTGGAGCAATGAGGAGGTGAAGGAGTGCAGAGCTCCATGTTTCAGAGAGAAGCCGGCGTGTTTCAGCTCTGCTAGAATAGATTTCTAAACTAGACTTAATTCTAGATGTTTTCATTTGTTGCCATTAAAGCTTTACTGTGTTTGTTTTTATGGAGAAGATCTTCAGTGAATCATTTGCTGATTCCCTTCTGCTGCGACACAGAGACCTTCTGGGTTGATGTGAAACGGTTCAGATTAGATTAGATCTAGAGTTTCTAGCAACAGATGGTTTGATTGAGTTTAGGCTTTAGACTGGGTCATTCTATGCATCAATATCTAAGCATCTATATCAGTGTATCGCAGCTCTGGCTATGTGTTGGGGGGAGGGGCATTCCTCTGCTGAAATCTCATTATTTAATATGTTTAAAGGTGACATCATAGTTTCTCTTCACTCAGCAGAACAGAAGCTTTAGAAAGATTAGTGACGTTTTTAAGGTTTGACTCGATTTATTTAAGGAAGACTTTTAAATGTGGTCAGCAGGCAGTCAGGTGACAGTCAGGGGCCATGGGGGCCGACTGGCCGGGCCCTCCTGCTCTGAACGGAACACTCACAGCAGCGACATCAGATCATAGAAATATATTTGTTAGAAGAAACATTTTAAAAGTTTCAAAATCTGCCTTCCTTTATGTTCTTCTGTTATTTTCCACCGCTGCAGAATATATTGATGTTTGGTTCTGACAGATCTATGTAACACACACACACACACACTCTTATAATTGTGTGTGTGTGTGTGTGTGTGTGTGTGTGTGTGTGTTGGCCTAGTGGTCAGAGCAGAGCTCTGCTGCACTGAGAAGGTTGCTAGTTTCCGGTTCAATCCCTGCAGTTTCCAACCACTCAGGGTCCCTGAGCAAGACCCTTAACCCCCCACTGCTCCCTGAGAGCCGCACCATGGCAGCCCACTGCTCCCCGAGGGGAGGGGTTAAATGCAGAGAGGGAATTTCCCCATTATGTGACAATAAAGGGATTTACATTTTTTTTAAATATAAGTATACATTAATATTTCCTTGAGTTTTCTTACAGTAAAACGTCAGCAGAATTTATGCTGAGTCATGATTTAAAGAAAAGGATGAACAGCATGAAAATCTAAGTAGAAACCTGAGAAGCTCCAGGATCTAAAGCGACGCTCTTTGCTCAGAGCTTTAAATCTCTGCTTTCTTTCATCATATTTGCATCAAATAAAAGATGAGAAAAATAACCCCCCCCCCCCCCACCCCCCCCAGTCTCCTGTTTTCCTAAAGTCAGCTCCTGCAACAGTATAAAGGAGGTTTTTTTTCAGCCTCTATAGGCAGCTTGTTTACAGAAGGGGAGGGGGGGGGGCATCATGCGCTCTCTGCTTCGCTTTCATTCATTTAGTTTGTTTTTTCTTTATTCTAAGTTTGATCCAATGTGGAAACAGAACAAGCTGCAGATGCAGGTTATGGTGGGAATGGAAACTGATCACATGCTTCTCTGCAGCTGTTTGGCTGCTTCCAGAGTTTCAAAGAAGTCCAACTTTAAACTAAAGAGGAATGAAAGTTATTCATGCAACTAAAGAAAGTGCAGATATTGGAGCTGCTGCATATTTAGGGGCCTCCTACCGATGCATACTGTCCCGCTCTGCGCTCCCAAAGCTTCGCTGCTTGTTTGTCCTCCGCTGCTGCTGATGATCCAATGCTGCAGCCACAAGAGGAACCGCCTCCTGTTGGGGCAGGTATATCTATATCTACAGATCTGGGTTCTATAGGGATGGGGCAGGTATATCTATATCCATAGATCTGGGTTCTATAGGGATGGGCGTTTTTTGCAGCGGTTTCCAAGCAGCGCCATTTCTGAAAGGCGCAAAGCGCTTTTTGGCGCTGCGCTGTTAAACGTGGGAGGGAACTAGATCACATGCTCTGCTGGGGCCCCCAGCTGCGGGGGGGCCCACCGAAAGGGCTTGGATGAAAAACAAAGGGTCAGAATATAGAAAAACACATTTAAGCTCTAAAAAAACCTGGGAAAATAATTTCAAATATTCATAAACTTGATTTATTTTTTCCTCATCCTGTAATTTTAGATTCATGGATATAAAACCTTATTTTATAGAAAAAAATAAACAAAAATAATTATTTAGGAATTAATTATTTGGATTATCCAGCTAATCTAAAACAGGAAGGGATATATCTATGGAAAAAAAGTGATCTTTTTATTTAGATCTATGTTTAAATGAAGGTTTGATGCATCAAATATAGAGCTGAGCGATTGACTGATTGGTTGATTGATGCAACTGATTCATCAAATTATTTTGTTTATTAGGATTAATTATTTGTAAAAATCAAGATGTTTCCATCATCAGTTGATCAGTTTTTGTTGATAGATGTGACTTTCTATCTGATAAACTAGCTCTATGTGTGAAACCTGCCAACAGTTGGTTGGATGTATTTTCATTGTTTTTGTGAAACATGATTATTTTCCAAACCTGTTTAAATAAAGAGGCAAAGCTAGTTTTTATAAATAATATATGCCATTTTTATTTATTAATTTCTTTACCAAACTTAAGGTAAAAAAAAAAAAAAAGATAAATTGGATTTTGTAGGGAAATTTGGTCAGAGACTAGATTTTAAATTTCAGCCCAACTATAAAATCTTGCTGGATTAAACAGATTATTTCATTATTTGGTTCAGATTAAAAAAAGTTTAGATATGAAAAAAACACTGAATGTTGGAAACTGTAAACATTTGATCACTGCTGAACTTTAGAAATGGAAATATCCTTAAAGCTGCTCTCTTTGTTTTGTTTACACTCTGTGTATAAATGACAATAAATTCTGTCTCAGGATATGATTCATTCTTAACTGTCTCAACTTTATTCAGTTTGCTTTTATTTTGTTCCATTTATGTTTCGATTGATGAAACCAGTTAAGACTTTGTCCTGGTTTAACTGTGGAACGAAAACATTGAACTTTGTAGATTTTTGAGGAACAAACTGTGGAAAGATATTCTGGAACCTATTGGTGTGACATGCAGCTCTGCTGATTAGTTTCTTCCTTTTCTTTTTGTGTCTGACTCAGTTGTTTTTTAACTTCCTGTTTTATTTTGGTTCACTAATTTCTGTTCCCATTTCAGGCTGTTTCACTTCCTGTGATTCCCCTTTAAAGGTGCAGTCTGTAACATTGAGGAGAGAGCACACTTCGACTGAAAATTTGAAGAAAAACAGGTTTCACGTCACTCCCCCACCCTCTCTGCTTCACTCATGCCCCACCTCCAAGCTCCACCCCTCTCACAGCATCTGCGCGGCTACCGCATGCGACCAGAAGGGGGGGGGGGCGGGATTCAGCGTGTGTGAGCTGTGATTGACACTCCATCAGACGCTCCTCTGGCTGTGATTGGTTGTTTTGACTCGTCCCGAATTATTCTTTCCAGATTGAAATACAGGCAGTAGGCGGGACCAATTGAAGCAGTTTTTTTCACAGGTTACATATCACATGTACTGCTGTCTGGGCATAGGGACAGTTTTAGCCAATATGACAAAAAAGTGATTTTTAAAAACTTACAGACTTCAGCTTTAATCAGCCTTCCTGATCCTCACCTGTTTAAACCTCTTCCTCTGTTTGTCTTTGTCTCTAACGTCCCAGCCTTTATTCTACCTTGCCTAGTAGTTAAGCTAGTTGCTCTCCTTGTTTTTTGAGATTTGTACCAGTTGCTCCACCCATTGTGCATTAGCACATTTAATTCCTTTTTGTCTTCATTTCCCTGAGTTCAGTCCTGCATTTGAGTCCTCTTTGGTTGCCTCTGACAGTTGGCACTCAATAAGCGGCTTTTTTCAAGCTATGCACTGCAGGAAGAAATTAAAGTTATTGTTGTTCCCTTTCCAGATATTAAAACCTTTTAAAAATGCAACCTTTAATTTCTTTAAAAGCTGATGAGATGGCTGCAGTCGATCAGGACGCTGCTGCCAGTGTCCTCACTAAAACTAAAGTTCTTAAACTGGCTTCCTGTGTCTGTGGGAATAGACCTTATAAAACCCTCGATAACTAACCCACAAATACGTTGCACCCTTACTGCCAGTGAACTCTCAGGTCTTCTTGCTCAAATTTCCTCTGCATACCCAGAACCAAACTCAGCTTTAGTTCTGATGAGCTGAGCTGCTTTCTAGAATATTTTCCTTAAACTTTTAACTGAAACATCAGCAGCATCCGTTCAGGGTCTTTTTCTGCTTCTGCAAAGTGTTTTTAAATCATTTTGGTATTGAAAGGTGTCATGCAAATAAACCTTGGATGTTATATAAATAGTCCGACAATCTAAATGCATTTTACATTAATGTGCAGCATTTCAGGAAAGGCAGCTTCCTCCTCACATTTAGTAAATATTTGAATATCTTTTTATGGGATCTCATGTCCTTCCTTATCCACAGATTTAAGCTCTAAAACAAAATATCATTGCTGTGCATCAGGTTGGAGATTTACTCACCTTTATGCTGCTTTACAAGATGTTAACTGCTTTTAATGTACCAGTGTCATCAATCTCCAACTAAAAATTAGCTTCTTAATTTCAAACTATATATTTTAGGAGCTCCTGTTTGCTGAAGAAGTGTTTGGGCCTTAGAAGGTGTTTTTTTTTTCTGTTGCCTTCACAGAGCTGCAGAAACGGCTCCTGAAAAGAGCAGGAGGAAGTTTGCAGCCCCTCCCTCTGTAGGGTTATGATTATCCTCAAACATCTGGGAGCATTTCTCTCTCTGACCGCACAAGAAAAATAGAAAGCTAGAAGTCCTGGGCTATGATTTACGTAGATATAAATAAAGCAGAAGCTTGTAATGTAAAGGAAGTCACCAGGAGCACAGAAGGTGGACATGATGAGAGGAGGAGGTTTCAGGGCCTCCTATAGATTAGCATTGACGTCTGCATTGCTAATCAGCTTAGCGGGAAGTTACATTAACTTAGATCTTTATCATTATACCTCAAAGCACTGAATTAATTAAGTCATCTAACAAAAACTGATTATTTTTCATAATGTTGCATCTTTATTAAATGACCTCATAAAAGTAAAACATTATTATTCGAATCTATAATTGTAAACGTGTAATTTTGGGTTTTATTTAGTTTCCTGTTTTACGGAAATAAAAGTAAACTCTGGGTCAGATGGGATCTGATCCGACAACAAGCAACAAGTAGAAGAAGAAAAGTCTTAGAAATAATCAATCATTAAACTGAGAGCAGTTGGAGCAGCGTCCTGCTCCACCGTCGGCCGCCATGTTGGCTCCTCTGTAGTGGCGGCGCCGCCTTACATCTGAACAGCATGTTTAACACGGGTTCCAGAATTAGAAGTTGTGTATATAGATGTTAGTGGACCAAACACACAGCTGGAAGCAGACCCACCCCACAGTCAGGCCACTGAAAACCCCAAATCATCCCGTTATAGAAGCAGCAGCCAGAACCACAGGAGGCATCGGAGGGAAGCAGCTGCTGTTAGAAAAATAAAATCTCTTTCTCTTCTTTTACTGATTCACCATTTTACTACAGAGTTGGATTCATTTATTTCAAAGGACGACGAAAAAGGTGTTACAAAAGAAAAATACTTTAAACACAAAAACGTGATAAAATACAGTAAAAAGGAGAGATTTATAAAGTTATGTTAGAAATGCTGAAATACATCTAATATTATTAATTGGCTTCTCATCATTTTGGCCTTTAAACTTTGGCTATTTTTTTATTCCTGTTTTTCAAATTCTAGGTAACATAAATACAATAAATACCAAAATCAAGCGGACTTCACACGTGTGTTCATGTCAGGATTTAAAGTTAGACTAAGGAATTAGTTTAGGTTTTGTTTGGTCATAATTCCCCCCCCCATGTGCAGCAGATAGATGTGATTTTGCAGAGATGTTGAGGCAAAGTGAACGAGCAGGATTCTAACTCACTCCTCTGACCAACATAGAAAGTGACTCTAGAATATTGATCAACTCTAAAATGCTGTTTTAATGCACATCTACACCTTAAAGGTTTGTGGCTGCTTTCTTAGCCGAGTCTGCCTCATCTGCTATGAGATCTACAAAGTGTACATCTATAGTGAACCAATAAGAGCTTCTTATGCCTGCAAAGGTAAGACGTAAGCAGCCGAGCTGAAGCGATAAGAAGCGTCCTGAGCTCAGTGAAATTTACCTGGAAAGCTTCGTCTCTCAGGAATCCATATTTTCATCCATCTGTTTCGCTGGAACAGCCATAAATGGTCATCAGCTACTAGCTGTTAGCTTAGATGAAGATCATTTTATTTTTCATCAAACTCACTGTGACGTCACTTCCTTTATTACAGGATTTTATAATTCAAACATTCTTGCTTCCAATAAATTTAATCTATCCCTTTAATGTTTCTATTTATTCCTTCATTTCTGCCTTTGGTTCACAGCGTAAAGCATCAACAGGTTTTAAGGTTTCGCCTTTTTTTGCGAATCATTTTAGGAACAACTCGGATGTTTTTGCTGAATTAGTGTTGAAGGCTTGTTGTCGTCTTTGCTTTGGCAGAGAGATCCTAAAATAAATAATCAGCGTCACAATAATTCAGAATCTGAGCAGAAGTTTTAACATCTCTGCACAGAACAAATCTTTTTTTATTGTGTCTGTCATCATCATCATCTGCATCCAGCGGGGGGTCTGGCCCTCCTCTACCAGCTGAACAGCTTCAGGAAGTTTTGGAAGCCGTCTTCTCCCAGGAAATCATAGGAACCCTGAGAAGAGCCGAGGTGGACCAGCAGGAGGACGATGAGGACGACGGCCAGCAGAGGAATCAGCAGGTTCCAACCGGCTGCCAGGATGTTGTACCATTTGGCTTTATCTGAGCACTCCTGGGCCAGCTGCAGGTTTCCCAGCGTCTTCTGGTCCCGAGCCTGCAGAAAACACAACATGTTCACTATTAGCTTAAAAACACGTTTTTAGTTTTCAGCTTTTTGCTGCATTACAACAATAAACATGAATGTAAACCTTGAGATTATCTGTAACAGAAACTAATTCATAACTGTGAAGATATTTTTTCTGATGTCTTCCTTGGATCAGTGGCTCCTCAGTGGGCCTAAAGCATTCCAGGTCAGCTCCAAGGCTTATTTATGTGGGTGTCCAGCAGGAAGGTAAACCTCCGCCCCTCGTTTCAAACCTCTCTCAGGTTTCCTCTTGGCTCATTCGTTCTGCTGCAACCAGACTCTACAATGCCTCACTGCAACCGCAATAACATGTGCAACGGATAATGTGCAATTAATATTTAATAACCTGTTCCTCTATATTTGATACGCAGTGCAATAACTATAAATATCCATCTATATAAATAATCACCCTGTGCAATAACACAGCATAATAAACCTGCTATAAAGGTGAATGCACTGTATATAATGTATATATCCCATCATGCACCTTTTCCTTCCTTTGGCTTCTTCTTCTATTTGAGTTGATGGAACGAGTCATTTTTCTGCTGTGAGATCAATAAAATCAATCAATCAATAAGTTATAAAGCTTTTATCTTCACCCATCCCCTCCCCCCCTGCATCCTAGCGGTATAAAAACCTCCACCTACATATCTAAAGAAGGCATTAATGTGTTAATGCTCACCACTAACTCACTACTTTACACTATTCATGAAAAGTTTCACACAGCAGAGCTCCTCCTTCCAAATGTTTGCTCCAACATGGAGCAGGAATGTGTTTCCAGTATTAGATGAAGGTCGGCTTTATTCTCACTGGGATTAAACCAGGAGTGACTGATGAAGTGGATCCATCCGTTTCCTGCCTCTTTCTCCGCGGCCGCATCATGGAGGCGGCGGTCGAAGCAGAGAAGCCCAGACTTCCCTCCCTGAGGCGACACCAGACCAGAGACATCGTCCCTCCAGCGTGTCCTGGTCCTTCCACCAGGCCTCCTCCCAGTGGGACGTGCCTGGAACACCTCCTGATGGAGGCGACCAGGAGGCCTCCTCAGCTGGCTCCTTTCCACGTGGAGGAGCAGCGACTCTACTCCCAGCTCCTCCCGGGTAACTGAGCTCCTCACCCCATCTGGTTAATTAAGTGGATTTTTAAAAATATCTGGTTGTTGGATTTTGACCAGAATTTCCTCATTGTGGACAATAAAGGGATTTTCTATTGTTATCTATTCTATTTTATTTTAAGGAATGTGATTAAATTTATAACTTGGAGGAATAAGATTTGTAGTCTTTATAATTTTCGCTATCTCTAAGGTCAGTCAATAATCCAGGTCAGCTACAGTGAAATCTTCCCTTAGCTCTCTACTTTTATATCTAAAGGAAAAATATTACAGGACATTTCAACATTTTTCTTGTCTTATGCTCTTTGTACTATATACACTCTCTGTCTGTTGTATTTCTATCTTCAATGGCATCCTGCTTTAACTCTTTGTGCTCTATAGAAGCTACTGGAACCAGAATTTCAGCGAAGGAATAATCCCCAGGGATTAATAAAGCTGAGTCTAAGTTTAAAGATGTTCAATAAAAATGCAGAGGAGTTTAAAGATTTTTATTTTTCAGATGGTTTTAAAACCCTTAAAGGTTTCCTTTCTCTAACATGCACTACTTAGAGTTGGGCCATTGCTGTGGATGTGGTCCCAATAAGAACAAATGTAAAAGAGAGGAATCACATTAAGCTTTGTAAATCTGTCTTCAGGCTTTAAGAAGAGAACGCAGTCAAGTATAGCGTTACTCCATCCCTCTGCAAGCGCTCTCTAATTTCTCATCAGTACTCACCCATTAAGAAGATGCCAATTATACCGTTTTAACTCCCCGCTTTGAGTCACAGCCTTTAATTGATGCGCTGAGCCAAAGGCAGCCTGAGGTTCAAAGCTATGCAGACATGAACCAAACAGCCAATGGCTCGTTTTGCACACGGCACGCTTCTTTACAGAAACATTGTTTTATTCAGGAACTGCTCTGAAGGTGCTTTATTGTTGTTGGTAAAACATCAGCCGGACTGAGTCACCAATCCTAGTGGATTTGGAGCATTTGGATTTGGAGCGTCCCAAAGCACCGCCGCTCCATGACGGCATTCCATTACATTGTGTGAGAATCCATAAAGGTTTTATTTTTAACTGGTAAGAGCCTTCTCATTCACAAAAACAAAATGGCGCCTGTGGTCGGCAAAGAAAAGATGGCCACATCCTGCTGGTCTGGATTATTTTTATAACTTTGTACAGGATTTATTTTTCAGCCTCGCATTTGGAATAAATTACCTCAATTTCTCTACATGAAACTCAAAGACATCTGAGAATAAAACTAGAACTTTAACCCTAATTTGAAATGTTGCAAATGTCCAAATTTGGTCCATTTTATAACATTTTAAGCTTTAATCTCCTTTGCGAATAAATTTTAGCTCGGATCACAAGTCAAAGGATTTAGAAAACGTTTGCAAAGCTAAACATGACTGGACTGAATAAAACACTTTCCACAACTAGTGAGGATTAAATTGGTATTTTTTTCACACCAGATCCTGTTTTAATCTCTTCTAAGTTGTTATAGAGTCAGACTTCCAAGGCAGACAGAAGTAGGATAAAACCACAGGCTCACCTTGATGGAGTAGATGAGAGCCATGAAGCCCAAACAGCAGAAGTTGACATAGAAGGTGTTGCAGAGGGACCAGAGCAGATAATCCCGGGGGGGATTCTTCCCCACGCTGCCCATGTTGACCACGGTGGATCCGGCCGGCTTACGGGCCGACTTGCAGTTAGTGAGGGGGGTGCAGTCAGATGGGAAGTTGTAGGAATGGTTATCCATGATAAATGTACGGTTGATCTTAAGGTCTGCTCCCTCTGGATGGCGAGTCTCTGTTGTGAAAGTGCCCCCCCCCCCCCTGCTTGGGAGGCTTTTAAAGGCCCTTGGAAAGGGAGGTGGCTGGAGAGGAGGCCTGGGCAGGGTCCTTTAATACACAGCAGGTCTGTCATTATGTGGCCAGGCCTAAAGGAGACTGAAATAGAGAGAAGAAAGAAGAGAACATTTTCTCTGAGAACGAGCATCAGGCAGTCCCGAACTTCAGCTTCTTCGTCTTTTTCCGAGCAGCTGTGTCTAGAAATAGAGTGGGTGTAAAAAAAGATGAGACCCAGCAGCTGGAAACCCCAAAATTATCGATATTTTCACCGTCTCCAATCTGTATGAATTGGGTCAGTGTTCTGGGAATCCACAAGCTTTTCAATACGATGTGTTGGAATTTCGTCTCGTTTCTCCAGAAGAACTGATGTAAAGGGGTCGTTTTATTGGCCACTTTGTTCAACATTTAGGTCCTCAAATCTTCCAAAAGAACTTTGTGACTCCAAAATACGGGGTAGTTCATCCGTATGGTGCTTTGAAACTCATCTGGAGGTTTGCTTACAGTCCTGGTCCAGACCTTTACTTCCTGGCTGCTGTCTTGAGGAAATGCTTCAATGTTTACTGAACCTTAACTCACCAAAACATTAAGTTTTCCTTTTATTACAGAGAAATACGGTATAATAACAGCAAAGATAGATCAGGGGTCGTTCCACAGCACAGAGAGAGGAGGCTGCCTCAGTCTCTGCTTTACTCCTAAAGAACAGAAAACAGGTCTGATAAATCCAACCGGGACTGAAAACCTATTAAAGCTTAAACAAAAAGCTTCTTATAGTAGGAAGGAAATCCCAGATTAAAACCAGCTACAGAGTCTCACTGGAAAAACCTGAAATGCTGTTTGTTTTCTACATTTATAACTTTTAATAGGGACAGAATCTCTCCTGCCCTCCTTTGATTTATTGTTGCTATGAAATCTGCTAAATTAGTTAAAACAAGGAAGTTTGAAAGAAGTGTGAGTTATGACACTGCCAGCCTGAGTTCTAGTCCAAACCAAGTCAAAGGTCATTTTTTTATTGTCAACATGCTCGTCTTAAAAGCTCCTTTTTCACTTCGGTCGTTTCATCATCGATGCTCTGATGATGCATGCATCAGAAACTCCTTTCATCAAGCTAAGGTTAAAAATGAGGCAAAAACTCATTGAGTAACATTTTCACAATCGTACAGATTAAACTAAATTTAAGATTCTATTTTTAAAGTCATTAACAAGCCTATGGCAGGACAAACAGCCATGCACACAAGCAAAGACAGTTTAAAGACTTAACAGTCATCTTTGACTGTATGTTGAATTACCTGCAGAGAGATAAAGATGCAGATTTCATTCACACCACGACTTGAACCCAATTCTGAAGTTTGGTTCTTTAATAGAACTGAGATTATAAAATGTCATAAAATCATTTATTCATGCTTCTTTTTCTATGTCTGCTTCTGTCTCCTTAAACCCCAGTGGGCCTCAGCAGATGGCCGCTCACACTGAGCCTGGTTCTGCTGGAGGTTTCTTCCTGTTCAAAGGGAGTTTTTCCTCTCCACTGTCGCTACAAGCATGCTTAGTGTGAGGGATTGCTGAAGAGTCAATGAGTCGATGCAATCAGCCGGTTTTCCTTAGATAGAAAACTTTGAATCAATCTGACTGGATGATCTGGTGAACTGGAGAGTGACCTGAGATGACATGATGGGAATTGGAGCTATAGAAATAAACTAAATAGAATTATTGAGGAGGATCATTTTAAAAATAATAGCAGCAAATCAGGTGATCTCGTCTGTGAGTAAAACAATATCTTCCTGCTGGTTAAAGCTTGTTTCTCTCTCAAAACCAGAACGTTGTGGAAGAAAACAGGAAAATGCAATTTAAATACACTATATTGCCAAAAGTATTTGCTCACCTGCCTTGACTCACATATGAGCTTAAGTGACATCCCGTTCCTAATCCATAGGGTTCAATATGACGTCGGTCCACCCTTTGCAGCTAGAACAGCTTCAACTCTTCTGGGAAGGCTGTCCACAAGGTTTAGGAGTGTGTTTATGGGAATTTTTGACCATTCTTCCAGAAGCGCATTTGTGAGGTCGCACACTGATGTTGGACGAGAAGGCCTGGCTCTCAGTCTCCGCTCTAATTCATCCCAAAGGTGTTCTATCGGGTTGAGGTCAGGACTCTGTGCAGGCCAGTCAAGTTCATCCACACCAGACTCTGTCATCCATGTCTTTATGGACCTTGCTTTGTGCACTGGTGCACAGTCATGTTGGAAGAGGAAGGGGCCAGCTCCAAACTGTTCCCACAAAGTTGGGAGCATGGAATTGTCCAAAATGTCTTGGTATGCTGAAGCATTCAGAGTTCCTTTCACTGGAACTAAGGGGCCAAGCCCAGCTCCTGAAAAACAACCTCACACCATAATCCCCCCTCCACCAAACTTTACACTTGGCACAATGCAGTCAGACAAGTACCGTTCTCCTGGCAACCGCCAAACCCAGACCCGTCCATCAGATTGCCAGATGGAGAAGCGCGATTCGTCACTCCAGAGAACGCGTCTCCACTGCTCTAGAGTCCAGTGGCGGCGTGCTTTACACCACCGCATCCGACGCTTTGCATTGCACTTGGTGATGTATGGCTTGGATGCAGCTGCTCGACCATGGAAACCCATTCCATGAAGCTCTCTGCGCACTGTTCTTGAGCTAATCTGAAGGCCACATGAAGTTTGGAGGTCTGTAGTGATTGACTCTGCAGAAAGTTGGCGACCTCTTCGCACTATGCGCGTCAGCATCCGCTGACCCCGCTCCGTCAGTTTACGTGGCCTACCTCTTCGTGGCTGAGTTGCTGTCGTTCCCAAACACTTCCATTTTCTTATAATACAGCTGACAGTTGACTGTGGAATATTTAGGAGCGAGGAAATTTCACGACTGGATTTGTTGCACAGGTGGCATCCTATCACAGTTCCACGCTGGAATTCACTGAGCTCCTGAGAGCGACCCATTCTTTCACAAATGTTTGTAAAAACAGTCTGCATGCCTAGGTGCTTGAATTTATACACCTGTGGCCATGGAAGTGATTGGAACACCTGATTCCAATAATTTGGATGGGTGAGCAAATACTTTTGGCAATATAGTGTAATTCAAAGAGTGAAAAAAAATGGCAGAGACTCAAAGATGAAAACAGGAAAATACTTCCTGATGTCATACTGACAAAAGGTGAAGAGGATAGGTACTTAAAAAGATTAACCAGAAGTAAGTGGTCAGCACCTTGGTTCCGGACCAACCAATCATGGTCAACCTTCTATTATCAAGTGAGGCTCATTTTCTATTTAGGAACTTTTCTTCAAGCCTGATTTAACCAATATTAGAAAATCTAGCTCTTGCTTTAAATTCGGTCCTGACTCACAGTAATAATACTTTTGTAAACTTGCAATGTTCTTTTCCAGGCTACTAGAATGCTGTTTTTTATTAAAGCATTTAGACCTAATGAGGCTCAGCAGCCTTCCTATTCTTCTGGTTTACTGGGCCTCTTCAGTGGGGAGAAGTAAATTGGTCATTGGTGCCACTAATGGATACGTGAAAAATAGGTATAAAATTAACTGGAAATTTCTTGGCTTTCAAATTAATTTTAAGAAAGCAGCATTTGATTAGTGGTGTCTTGATTTTTGGATTTGAAGCCTCTTCATCCTTAACAAAGTGAAGAGCCAGCAGGTGGCGCTGTGCCCTTTCTTTTCTGAGGAGACTGATTTCTTACAGACATTAACAGGGAACTGAGGAAGAAATATTCCTCCTTCATTTTTAACCCTAAAACTTTTCCACAGTCAGATTCATTAAATGATCAGAGTAACAACAGAAAACATTAATTATATCTACATCTAATCCAAACTGCATTTTCAATAAACACGACTGAGTAAAAAGTTCATGTTCTAAAAGGCTGAGGTGCGTTTCAGTTACTTACATAAAAAATAGAAAAATATGTCGTTATTAATAATTTGGGGCTACGGGAGGAAATAAAAAAGTCAGGGGAAAGTTGGACATCAATTAAAACTTAAAGCCAAAATTCTTTGCTAGCAGAGGATGGTTTCGATCCATCGACCTCTGGGTTATGGGCCCAGCACGTCTGCATTTCTCACCCAACGAGCTTCGCCCCTCTCCATTCTCACGTTGGACGATTGACCAATGGCGCATCAGCTCACAATGGACCGAGCCTATCGGCGGCCGAGCTCACAATGGAACTCCGCCAATCACCGCCGCGATATACGGAACCAATCAACGTCCGAGCTTACAATGGATACAGGCCAATCACCGTCACTCTGCTTGAGCCTATCAACATCCGAGCTCACAATGGACCTCGGCCAATCCCCGTCACGATTTACGAGCCAATCAATGTCTGAGCTCACAATGGAAGTCGGCCAATCAACGTGAAGCATAACTTGTAGAAAAAAATAGAGAGAGAGAAAAAAAAGAACAACTTTCTGATCTTCTTAGAAAATTAAAAAAGAGAGAAAAAAGGTTGCCGATCTTAGAAAATTTAGCTCTCGATGGCCAACTTTTTTCATCAAGAAAAAAAGAACCTTACAGTAAGTATACATTTATATCGTTTATTGTTTCCTTCCATTCAAACAACGTTATTCCCTCTTTATTTCACATTAGCTACGAATAACATAACACAGATGATGTCACATTTTCCCTCTTTATTACACATAAGCTAAATATAATATACTGTAGATTGAATAAATTAATGGTATTATGTCACATTTTCCCTCTTTATTACACATGAGCTAAATATAATATACCATAGATTAAGTAAATTAATGGTATTATGATGTCATGTTCTGTTAGCAAACTGACACAGTTTTAAAAGGTTTAATTTAAAATGTCAGTAAAAATGTTTAAATCCTTTCATCTCATACCAATTGTTAGCTGTATAAAGTGCATTAATACTGTATTATGTTTGATTCTTCTCTTTTTTTATATTGTCTTCAGATGAGCACCAAGCCAAAGAGCCATAAAGGGATGGGAGATGGGGAGTGGATGGCAAG